GAGTATCTAATTAAGTCCGAATACTTTAAACTATACATATAATATTACGCTAAATAAACTGCTGGGTTACATAATCAATACTTCTATCCTCGTAGTTCTGTGTCCGGCAATTTAGCCGAAGAGCCCGTTATATCTTGGGGGAAGATTTCCAGCCACCGGAAATACTTTCTTTAGGACAGCGACTAGCGCGTCTCGGGCTGTTTTATTTTTCTAACATTGTTTTGCAGGTTACGACGATTATCTCCAACAAATTGCTTGCATGAAGTTTGGAACCTAGGACCTCCTTTATAGAAAAGTAAACCGTGACCAGTGAGCTTAATCTATACAAATGAGTTACTAACTAACTCGATATGAAAACACAAAAGATCAAATCTAGTGAGCTTAATCTTTAATTGCCAATTGAATTTACTTATTTACGTAAGAGAAGGGAAACGCTTCCAAAAATAACAAATGAGTAATAATAACGTCATGGAAGATTAAATTTTAATGGATAAGTCACATCTATATCTAAATCTTAACCTATCTTATGAAGGCCACTTTTTATTATTAAATGCTCATTACTTCTTCATGTTAGGCTATAAGATGTAGTACCTTGTGCTATTCGAGTGTTCCATTGAATTGCCGTTCTCACTTTTCCGTCAAGCTTCACATATGACGACGTTTAATTTGTTTTGACACAGTCAACCCAGGTATACCTACGGAGTATCTTTCATCTATTATTTCCCAGCTATATGAGCTCTTGATTTCCCCCAAAGCACTTCTGAACATTCATCTCCATCATTTGAAGATGTAGCGTTTACTTTTACGATTAGCTGGATCTTAATTAACTTTCAGTATATAATGAGGTTTCGACTTCCATTTGCCCTCTTCTCACAGTGGTTGATCAATAATTTTTAGGTCTATTATCTTATTCTTCCTTGCACCCTTCCCTTTGCTTAATGAGCTAGGTATTTCTGTTATTAAAAGTAATGCCATGTTTGTTCTTTACGTATGTGATCTTCAATTTGTTCTTTTTTCTTTGTGTGTTATTATCTCATAGAAGTGAATCAATTTTCCCAACACTTTTTCTTTGTGTTTTTTCCTGCATAATTTCAGCAAATAGTTAGTTATTTAATAGGTATTTACATGTTGTTTCCCAGTAAAGTAATTGTAGGACAGAAGTTCATGGTGTGTACACGTTCAAAGGAAAGAAAACCAAAAGCACACTACGTGTTTGATAATATGCCAAGTTATTTCATTGCACTTGCCTTCAAGTGTTGTAGTTCTTACGGCATTTTTTGCTACGTTCTTGCAACATTTTTTGTTGCATATTTTATACGGAGTATTAATTAAGGCTTGGATTGTGATTATATGGTCTACACAATTTCATATGAAAGGAAACTAAAAGAACACTAGGTGTTTTATAATATTACTCCCTTCGTCCCCTTTAAATGTCCCGTTTTATTATATTGGAATGTCCCTATTTAATTGTCTCATACCTTATTTGGTAAAGTTTGTGTGGCTCAAAATTATTCTTACTTTGTTCTTACTTTGTTCTTACTTTATCAATTAATATCAACCGCACAAACCCACTTTTCTTAAAAGTCGTGTCACCCTCTTCCGGGACATTTAAAAGGGGACGGAGGGAGTATATGTCAATGCTATTTCATTACACTTGCCTTCAAGCACTGTGTTTTTAGTGTGTTTTTGCTGCGTTTTTTTCTTGATGTGTAGTCTGCTGCATATTTTATATTTTTCTAAATCATATATTTCTGGTGCATATTTATATTATAGCCTTTTATCATTTGACAATCAAAAGCGCAAAAGAATATTAAAACTGCTTATGCTTAAATAAATTAATTAGTTTAGGATTTAACACATTGTAAGCTTATACACGATCCGCGTGTAAGCTTATGTTGTCTAAAACTCCTCTAGTTAGCCACTCTCTAACGCTAACCTTCATGTGCAGTTTTTTAGCCAACAGTTTACCATTACATTTAAGGAAATCTCTATTTTTGTATCACACAACCGGTCAAACTAAATGACTTCATTGAGCACAAATGTTCAGAGAACTCCAAGAGGAATTTTTACTTTTTCTTATCGAAGCTGCCTTGACATTTTTCGAACTGAGGCTTCTAAAGTCCAAACTCACGTTAAGTTTGTTTATTTAAATATATACTAAATGATCACTTCCAAGTTAAGTTTGTTTATAATATTGATGCGTGCTCAATTACTTCATAAATGTATATATTTTACTGTAACAGCATCCAATTGAACTATATCTCATTATTTTTGAAAATTACTACACAGTTTACATAGACAATATAATTAACATTTCATAAAAGCATTGTACACAATTCATTAAAATTGAAAGTTGGGCATATTACATTCGCGCAACGCGCGAACAATTTACTAGTAATATAATAAAGTCAACCCTTGAAGAATTCTTTAGATGAATTATTGACATGTGGCAAAATCTTTGTAAGGAAAATGTGACATGTGGCAACACCAAGCTATCCAACTTCAAAAACTTCTCTTATGTATTCCAATCTTATATTATAATATATAGCCTCCTCTATTGTCATGTGTTGTTTAATTAAAAAACTTGATAAGTTTAATTAAAAATATTATTAAATCATTGTTATATTAAAATTTGATAACCATTAAATAGTATCTAGCAAAAGCACTTATTGTACAAAAGAGATACGATTAGATCTTTTGAATCAATGTTTGTGAACAATGATTATTAATTATTAAAAAATTATTTTCGGCTAGAACATAAAAATATGCTGGAGAAATTTATTTGAATAACTATTATAGAAATTACCGTTCAAAAATGGTTCGTAAAATAATACGGAGTAAGTATATTTGAAAATAGTTTTGGTAATTTTGGGGTATTGGGTCCAAGCCCAAATACCTCTAGACGGCCTAACTAGCACACGAGCCACTTTTCGCACGGGATCCGTCAGTCGGTAATATTCTGATACTCGGTGTTTTCTTGGATAGTGCTGGTTGTATGTCAGAGAGCTCCGATCCCCAAAGCAGTGGACAAGAAGACCAGAATTAGCGGGAAGCACATTTAGTGCACTAGATATGGAAGATTTTATGTTAGGGGCTATCCAATGAGGGCTCGACACATCATCACCTACACCTATTACATTGTAGTATAAACACTCGCATTTATCTCATTTGAAAGGTTTGACAAACTTAGCTTGCATACTATAACTTAGAATTCTCTCTAGCTCAGTGTAGAACATGGGGTTGGGACTCGGGCTCAGTAAGTTCGTAATAGAATTGGCCCACTTTACCTCTCATCTTTTCTTGCTATTGCTTTTGCCTTCATATTACCTTAATTAATACACCAAACACAATGATCGGTAAAAGATCCTACGAAAGCTCAATGGACAATGTTGGGCCTTTGGACCGCTAGGATTTAACTTCAACAAATAGTAAAGAATCAATATTAAAGACAATGAAACTCAAAAAATAGATATTTGTATTTTGGACAACTCACAATCCGCATATGTCAACCCACTAAACCTCCAGCCCATGCAGGTTGACCCACGAAACCGTTGAGTTCATCGGGATAAAAAATGACAACTCTAACCCATTATGAAATGAGATGAAATGGGCTAGTCCTGTGGACATTGACTCATTTTGACAGCTCTATAATACATAGTCTAATTGAATTCTCTTTTAAACAATGATTTACAAATTCACATACAATTCACTGTCCTATGATTTTAAGAAAAAACTTTACGCACATATTTTACCGTGCAGTGCACAGATACATATACTAGTATGTTAAGTTAATAGTCGGTAGACAAAAAGCAGTACGTAGTATCCTAATATCATCTTAGATAAAAAAAGATGAATGTTATTTAAGAATTAGTCATCCAATTGGCCAGTTTTGTCACCAATCTCAAATATTATTACTTTTGTGTAATAAACCTATAATTTAAAGGGAATATTTAAAGGGGAAATAATTCTTTAATTTTTGATCATTTTGTTTTATTATAATTCCATAACTTACTTGTCTAGTTTTATATACTTGTATTTTAAAAGGTGATAAATTTGTATCAAAAGGCTCTGTTTGACCGCAAGAAAATATCTTACTGAAATTACTTTCGTGAAAATTGATTTCCAAACATTAAACGGGTACTAAGGATGTTTTCTTTTGGATTGTTTTCAGTCCCAGACCAGACCAGACTTAAACAGACCAGACCGGACCAGACTTAAACATACCAGAATTTCTTAGTTATAAAATACACAGAGAGCAGACGTTTACCAGACCAGACATAAACAGACCAGCAAATTTCAGTCCAAAAGAAAACATCCTAACCCTTGATAGGACTAAAATAAACCCCAAATTCAACAATAGGAATACAATCCCTTTATTCCCAAAATAGGACAAATATATGTCTCTTCTTCTCATTCTACCCCTTTCTATAATATCCAATAGATTTAATTTTATTAATAAGAAAATTATAGTTTAATCTATAATAAAAATATAAAAAATAATAAAAAAATTTATAAATTAATAATGAGTAAAGGGTCAGTTTGGTCCTCAAAGTTGCAAAAAAGGGGTCAAATAAGTCCTTATATAGAAGATTCTGTCCGGACGTGCCATTTGAGGTGGCTCCCGATAGAATTTTTTGATGAAATTTTTTGAGCATCTTATTCATTAAGTCTAGTTTACTCATACCAAATTTCAGCTAACAATTCAATCGGGGAGACATTCAAATGAATTCTTGAAGATAACTGCACTTTTAACGGCACAGTTATCTTCAAGAATTCATTTGAATGTCTTCCCGATTGAATTTTTATTTGAAATTTGGTATGAGTAAACTAGACTTAATGAATAAGATGCTCAAAAAATTTCATCAAAAAATTTCACCGGGAGCCACCTCAAATGGCACGTCCGGACAAAATTTTCTATATAAGAACTTATTTGACCCCTTTTTTGCAACTTCAAGGACCAAACTGACCGTTATCCCAAAAGGATAATTTGGGATTTGGGACTAATATAATGGTATGTACAAAAAGGATTTAACCAACTGTAATTGTGTAAACACAAAAGAGAACAGAAAATGAGTTTGATGATCACGCGAAAACTTCATCAATTAAAACAGATAATCAGTTTTTACATTAATTCATTACCAACAACAAAAAAGAAAACAAATACTTGAACATAGAATTCATCCACTATTATGTCTTTGCTGGGCTTCATCGCCATATGCCAGTAAAAAAGGAAGCAGCTATGCAAGAATCTGTCCTAAACACTGCATAAAACATTGAAAAAAGTTGATGCAAAAGCCTTTCACGATAAGTAATGCGATGACAAAAAATTGTGGGGTGCTTACTTTTACTAATTCACAATTTCTATCCCAGTAAATGGTGACCCTTCATGAAGCTGAAGAACAACATCTCCTACAATCTGGAAAGCAGTATAACATAAATATCAGGAAAGTAATATCATACAAGTATCATAAGACAGAAAGTGATCAAAGTTCTGCAAGTGTTTTCTACTTCGGAAAGTCAACTCTCTTGATTAAGACACAAATCACATTTTGGGTCTATTTGAACCCAGAAAATAATGGGGAAAGAAAATAATAATATGGAGGAAAATCGGCAGGAAAAAACTTTGGAGCAAAATAAAAGACAAGAAAAACAGGAAAAGAAATATGGAGGAAAATGGAGAGGAAAATTGGAAAGGAAAAAACTTGGGGAAAAATAAAAGATGCACTCAAACTCAATAATTTTATGGCGAGTACTTTCTCAAAACACACTTTCTTAATGTATTTCTACTATACAAAGACTAAGAAATCGTAGAATATGCAAGAATTAAGGAACACAATTTTAGTATGTTTGGATCTACATTGGAAAATGAAACATCTGCATATATCTATGTTTTGAAATCATTCGAGTTATTTAGATATTTTTGTCTTTACACCATACGTAATAAATAACTAAATCTCTAAAATAAACATATCAAGTTCTCAACATTTTTTCATTCACAATTTCCTCTATTTTTTCCTTCCTGTTTGGTTTCAGTAGTATTTTTCCAAAAAGACCCTTCCATCATATGGAAGGATTGTATCCTATACGGCTATACCCTTATACACTTTCATCTACCAGCGTCAGGTATAACTTTGACATTTTAATTACCCAACAACATTGGGAAAATAAAGCAAAAGAGAAATAACAATAATATCTAACAACAACAACAACAACAATAATAATAATAATAAGTTTAAAACAACAAAAGCAATAACAGTAATAATAATAGCTTGATCGATGATCCATTTAAAATCCTCGTTCGAGATGTACCTTGGCCATGCTCCTATATGACAACTCAGTGACGCCTGCAACATGGGGTGTTAGAATGACATTTGGAAAGTTTAGAATGGCATTTTCAGGATCAAATGGTTCAGTCCAAGCAACATCCATTCCTAAACCTCCCAAGTGTCCACTTTTCAAATGATTAAAAACAGCATCATAATCCAGGAGTCTGCCCCGAGCTATATTAACTAGCATTGCACCCTGACAAAAGGTGTAGAGAAAAAACCATAGTATTTATTGATGTATACTCACACGTGATATATATACAAATATTGCTCATAGCAATGGTTCTACATCAATGAGGGTGAAGAACAGATGTTTTTTTTACAACGAACGTTCTTTAACGGGCCATAGGCTTCACTATACCTTTCTCATTGAAGATAAGAAATCATCATTCACTATCCCAGCCTGCTTGAATAGAGCATTATAAAAATCAATTTCACTAAAGCATAGGGCGGTGTTTGGAACTCCGAAATTTGCAGGGAAAAGAAAATCAAAATATAAAGGAAAGTAATTTGACTATGTTTTGATTTGCCTTGAAAATAAGAAGTAAAATCAAAACAGACTAAAATATTTTGAAATTTTACATGTATTTCGGGTTCATATTCTTTATGTAATTGAAATATATAAACAAAATGAGTTGCTCACATATCTGAATGAGATTGAACCAATTTCGGGTTCAAACTCAACTAGTTTATTTCCAATATTAGTATCTACTCCCTCCGTTCTCTTTAAGTGTCCTACTAGGTTTTTTGCGGTATGTAAGGAGAAAATTGTAGGGGTAATAGAGTGTGGCAGGTTTTTTTGGTAAAATGATAAAGTAGGAAAGAATGTATTACGAAAAGTAATTAAGTGGGTGTAGAAGAAAAATATTGAAAAAGTATGAAAGGGAATGCACTAAGAAAAGTAATTAAATGAGTGGAGGGGGGAATTGATTGTTATAAAAGTGAGGGCTTGAAGGTATTTTTATAGAAAAACCTTGATGAAAAGGGAAAGATGGACAAATAATAAAAAGCTTCCCAAAAAGGTGTATATGACAATTAATAATGATCAGGAGTAAATACTATGCAATCCTAAATAGTCTAAATATATGCCAAAAAATTAAAAATTTTAATGATATTTCTTTTTCCTTTTAAAAAAATGAATATAAAATAACTTCCCCTCGTATTTCTTTCATTCCCCTAGCATTTTCTGGGATCCAAACAAAGCCTATAAACAAAGTAAGTTTTATTTAAAAAGGGAATCTCACAGTTTCCACATTCATGGTTAAGCAACAGACAATAATGTCGGCTTTGCTAGCAAATTTCAAAATATCAGCATGGCTTCCCTTTTCGTCTACCAGGTCACCATCAATGCAATTCGCTATGTGTACTGCTAAACAATACTGTACATAAGAAGTCATAACAGACCACCATGGGGTAACCTATACTCCTACGGTAACAAAAAACAACCTAATGAAGTAATGCGATGCCTTACATTTTGTCCCATTAGAGTTATGCAAATGTGATGGCCAACTCCGTTTCGTAGCAAGTATTCTCACATCAAATGGTCTCAATCGTTTTGCCAATTCAATCCCAATATTGCCATATCCCATAATGAAGACCTATAATGAACACGGGGTGAATTATTAAGGTTTAGGATCCTGCCTTAAAAAGCTAGAATGTTTATATTAGTTTTTTTTAATATATATTTCATCAATGCGGATTTTCCATCATTTGCAATGGAGCCAAAGATTCATTATTTTTTGGCTTGAGAATATGATGGAATAAAGCAAAATGGCTCATTAAACTGTCTGCGCTTCTTTGTTATGAAGCAGCAGTCAGACCATGCAATTTTGGACGCGATTTTCACTATGGGTCATCTGGAAACAGTCTCTCTGTGCTTTAGTACAGGGATAAGACTGCGTACATCCGACCCCCCTTACCCCACCGTAGGTGGGAGCCTTTGCGGCACTGGGGTAAATGAAAATGATGATTCATCAATGCGGATGATTTGCCAAGATTTGGGAAGGAAAAATTGAGAGAAAGGATCAATCAACATGTTCATTGTTAAGATTCCAGAAAAATAAATAAAAAAAGTATTGTAGTAAGTTCTGGAGAAATGAGCTCACCGTTTTTCCTAGGAGGGTCTCACCAATTGGTTCTCCAAGCCTTTTCTGCTCTATAGCAGTTTGCATTTCGTGCTGCAACAATAAAATATTTTGAGGCAAGTTTATACAGAAGTACAGAACATGCATGTACATGGGCGGAGGTAGGCCAGCCCAAAAAAAATGTTTAAATGGTAGTTTAAATAATTTATTGTTATACTTTACCAAAAAAAAACTTTCTACCGGCCCAGCCCAATTTGAGCCCCTGGCTATGCCACTGTGCATGTAGGGTCAGTTTGAATGGAAGTTTATGGAGAACTTAACTTATATTCTTCATAAATAGAATGTTTAATTTCTAAAAACAAATGAAGGGGTGATTAAATGTTATGTGATCAACTATGACACTATTCCTTTCAACTTTTTTGCATATAAAATCTCAAACATATATCAACATATAGACATAACCCTTCAAATTCCCTCATGAGCATGTCTGAATGCACATATGGACAAGCTCAAAAGAGCTTCTAATGATAAAAAGCGCTGTTATGAGTAAAAAAATGATACTTGGCTAAGTGGTTCTTCCAATAGAGCCTTTAAAACATAGGAAAAATTGATATTATTAATCCCAACTATTCACGGTCCGCTTTTAATAATCCCTATTATAGATTATTTCCCTGTAGTCCCAACTTTGATCACCATTTTCTTTTAATAGTCCATCACCGGTTGTCCCAAGTTACAACCGGAAAAGAATAAAGACATGTATTTCACATGCTACACTAAAAGGCAATAACATATCCTCCCTCAAGTATGTGAATAATCTGTGCCATTCTTCGCCGGTAAATGTACGAAATGTGCCGGCAGCAGATTTCCAATTTCCAATTGATGCTTTCAAAGATCTGTTTTCTAAGCAAGTCTGTAGCAAACGATCTAGACTAAGCCTGAGAAAGAGAGTTGTATCTGAATGTTCAAACACATAAAGAATATTCTCCTTCTCTGGTTTTCGCTGGACAATCACTCGCTGGACAAATCTAGAATAGATGATGGAAATATTCAATCAACCCATCACTTTATCTGGTTTTCGTTTTCCAACTTAATTAAAATTGATACAAGAACTTCCCAAGAAATTTTGAGCACAAGAAGACTTTGTTGTCTTCTTCGCGTTGCTCTTCGCATCCCTGGATGACCTACCTTTGTCTGACGTTAATAAGATATTTAAATAGAAGAAGAAAAATGGACCGATTCGTGACTCCTGCTCTCTACTTTACCTTTGAATGTCAAAACTCTATTTGAGACTCTTGGTGGAAAAGGATTTGCTCCCAGTCCCACGGCTTGGGGGGGCAGATATAGGTGAGAAGAAAACAGGTGGTTTAGCTGTGGTGGTATTAAGATGGATTAACCAATTGTTGTGTTTAAGTATTGGGATTACCGGTTGTACTGGTATTAGGTCTACCGGACTATTTAAAGAAAATGGTGATCGAAGTTGGGACTACAGGGAAATAATATATAATAAGGTTTATTAAAAGCGGATCGCGAATAGTTGAGATTAATAATACCAATTTTTTCTAAAACATAATGTTACATTTCCAAATTCCAATCGAAATCACTTCATAACTCTACTGTCCATACTGCTTTTAGTAGACCACAGTATCAAAAGAAAATCTTATTAAAATTGCCTTTTTCACAACAGTACATCCAGACAAGTCCAAAATGCCCCAAGTTTTTTCCCCTTGTAATCGCTTTGGATAAGAAAATTAGATACACCAACCTGTTTACGCAAAAGGCCCAATATCAAATATATGGCCATTTCAGCACATGAAGTTGCATTTCCAGTTAAACCCCCAGGGATTCTAGCAACCTTAATCCCATGGTTTGAGGCAGCATTGATGTCAACACCTTTATCAAATAGAGACAGGTGGACCAATGTTCAATGGCATTTACCACAGTCTATGTTTGGAAAAACAGTAGGATAAACTAGTTGATAGCTAATTTGTCAAATTGAACATCAATGGTAGCTAGAGTTGATAAGCTAGCTAGTACATGGTTGAACAAATTGGATTACAGTAACTTTACTAACTTATAATTATTGGTTTCTTAATACTGATAAGCTAGTTGATTAAATATAGGGTTTGGTAACTGACAAAATTAATAAGCTAGTTAATCCATTCTTGTCTGTGATCCTCAACTATTTGCTCCTTAATTTGTGCAACATTTCTTACAAGAATGTCCCACAAGAATGAATCAGCAGTTCATATAGGTGATACTAACAATTACTACATATCCCATAATGAAGACCTATAACTAATTAATATTTCAACAAGATAGTCCCACAACTATGAATCCATTCTTGTTTGTGATTAGCAACTTTCATTTTTCTCACTTTTGGTGCATGAATTACGATTTCTTACTACTTAGGTTCTTTCTTGTCAATTGTATGGCGAAAAGTAGATTTGTTTTTAAGTTTAACAAACCTTAAGATTTTATTGATTACCAATATTTACATACACGTCTATTAACAAAAATAATGAGAACTAACCTTCCAGTCCAACTCCATACTGCATTATAAGTTTCATCCTCTTTGCACTAGAGATGAGATCAGAATTTAGTTTCATGCTTTTTACAACACATATATCATAGTCTCCAATCACAGCAGGCACATTGTCAAGGGTAACATCATCAACCTAAAAACGAATGCAATAATTTGGAACTATTATAGAATAAAAACCTATAACTTGATGCTACCATTGTCCAACTTAGTAGGCCACATTGCACTTCTCCGAAATTTTACCAATAACTTATTTTTAGAGAAAAGGGTCAAATAAGGCCTTCTACTATTATGAAATAGTCACATAAGGCCATGTACTCAATAAAGTGTCATATAAGTACCTCTATTTGTAAAAAGCAATCAAATGGGTCCTAATAACCTATTTAACACCTCTTAATCCCAGTTTTAGCGTACTTGACCATCTTTTTAGAATAGATTATACGGCATACGTCGAATATTTAACTAAGATTGGTTGAAATACAAGTCAAAAAAATCGACATGTAATGTAAAACCGGGATTAGGAGGTTGTAAATAGATCGTTAGGACTCATTTGATTGTTTTTTACAAGTAGAGGTACTTATATGACACTTTATTGAGTACATGGTCTTATGTGACTATTTCATAATAGTAGAAGGCCTTATTTGACCCTTTTCTCTTATTTTTATGCAGAATGTGAATGATAATGAGAAAGTAATATATAAAATGTTCTTCCGTTATAAATTTAGTCAAAGTTCAACACCTTTGACCATAAAAGTAAAACCTGGCCTAAGAAAGTGGGATAGATGGAGTGTGAAAATCAATTTTAGCAGTTACTTTTAATAGACTTTTTACCCAACAGGCAATTTCATCATATTGTAGTATGATTAGACAAAAAAAGTAAGTCTCTTTAAGAAAATACATATTGATTGAACAAAAAAAGTGGAAGCCCTCTTTCATATATTTGGAGTTCACTCAAAACCAAGTTTCATCCATGACCAGAATGACCTTAACATAAAAGGTAGATATTTGATAAATCCTCACCATAACACAGTGCAACTTGTAAGTGTCCATTTCATGTGATCGTTAGAGTCTGTTTGGAATTCGGAAAATGCTACTGAAAGGAAAAAAAGAAGGAAAATAGAGGGAAAATTGGAAGGAAAAGAAAAGTAGGGACAACTAAAACAGGTTGGGATTAAATCTCAAATTTAGGTATTGATTCGAACTCATTTTATTTATATACTTATAATATATGAAGACTGAAATCTAAATATATGTAAAATCTAAAAAAGTTGTAATCTTAAATTCTTTTAATTTCCAAGATAAACCCAAACATTACAAACCATGTTCCTTTGCCTTATTTTTTCCTTTCCTGCCGCTTTCCAGTTCCAAAGATAGCCTTATTGTATGATACTCAAATATGCAAATTCAACCATTGAGTATTTCCAAATAATAAATAAGCGCATGGAAAAAATTAGCACCTTTATAAATGGATAACCTTTCATGTATTCTCTTGTATAATTGTGAGATGCGGGGAAATGGGGCCCGCAGAAGAGAACACAAGTAGTGCGACTACCGGCAAGGTCGCCCATTGCTAGAACCTTACCAAAAGTGCCTCCACCTACAAAAATGTAGCTTGTGTGTTAAACTGTTAACGGTTTAAATTAAATATATCCAAAAAATAAACATGTACAAAGTATTAATTAAAGTCTGGAATGATCCTTTGGTCAATAGAAACTTGATTTGCCCTTCCTATAATTTGCTCCAACAAATTGCTAGAAAGAAAATTTAAGTAAACACACAAAAAACTAGCCGGATTAATTGGGATTTATTTGAAGGAGTTTAACCAAATTTTCTCAGACCAAAGATGTATCAAACATGAGTATCACTTCCTCAACATATAATCGGACATTCTCTTGCGTGTTTGGCCTATAATTTATAGGCCACAGAACACTGAAAAACTAAAAAGGTAATTACAACTCAAATAACAGTGAAAGGTTTCTTTACGCAGATGTTTCACAATCGAGACACTTAAGAAAGCCTCTTTTTTCTTATAAGCTGTGGCTGTCTGGCTGAGCTGAAGATAAACCATGGAAAATAAATCATTAGACAACACTCTACAGGGGGGAAAAAAGGAAAAACTGCAGTAGCCTAAGATTGGTGGTCTAAATAGCACATCAAAGAGGCATTGGTTTAATTAACACACAAGAATAATGAAAAACTTTAGAAGTACCATAGAAAAAGACTGAAGCGTGTTCCAGTAGTGGAGCCAGAAAATTATCTCAAAGGTGGTAAAAATATAGCAATACATACGATTTTTATAATGTATAAGTGAGCAAATAATGAATAATGAGCAAATAAGAAATCAATTTTTAAAATGTAATCATAAAGTTAGAATGTGATTGAAACCATTATGTATAAACCTACACCATATAAATTATGAGTATAGCATTAAAGTCTCTCCCGTGCGCATAAATCAATTTCTAAAGCTGTTTTGACATGCTTATGCTTGGACTGTGCATAGCATCCAAGGTTCTTTGAAATGTTAATTAAATTCTAAAACTGAGTATCTCGTTTTTATGCTTGAAGTGTACATAACATCTAAAGTTCTTCAAATTTGAGAGGAAATCGGTAAACAATCTCTCAAGTTTTATCTATTTCAATTTTCAATGTTTCTATAGCTGATCTTAGAGTGTACATACTTCATACTTTTTGTAGTTGCAACCTTTTCATTTGAGATAATTCTCAAATGATCAAAAGGAAAAAATAGTACTAGTAGTAGTTTAAATATTCCTAAAATAGGAGTTTTTATATGGTGGTACAAAAATACCCCTGCAGCTACCACTGCCACTGCCGGCCATCCCACGGCCGCCGCCGGACGGAGCCCCAGGCGACTTCTGCCGACATCTAGATTCCACCGCCGATCTCTGGCCACCAGAGCTCCGGCAATGCAAAAAAAAATCCAGATTTGTTTTTCAGGTCGCCTGCCACCGCCGGACTGCCAGCCACCAACTGACTGCCCCGGTTGACCAAGGAAACTAGGGGTGATTAATTAATTAGAATAGGGTATTAGGGATAGAAACTAGGGGAAGATTACGGGGCAATTACTTTTTTCATTTTCACTTTTGAAAACGAACAACTTTGACATATGTTTCATTATGTATGGTTAAAAACTAACAAAATCATATTCTGGAAACTTATAACGAGAGGAATTCAACGATATTTCTCAAAAAATCTACTCAAGTAAAACTCAGTTAAGGGATTTAATAAATTGATAAATAAAATATAGTTAAAGTAGATCACATTTATAAAATTCAACTTGTTGTATCTGCTTAAGAAATCTATTTCATCACATGCACAAAAAAATAATCAGGATTCAGCTGCCCGCCCGACCCCTTAGCTCCTCCCTAGCATGATCAATAAAATGCCAGAAATGAAAAAAAAAAAAAAAAAACAGGGCGAATGAAAACGCGCGGGGGCACCTGACGAGAAGAAGGCGCTGATAGTGATGATTAGAGAGAATGGTCTCTTTAATACCCGATCAACCACCCCCTGCAGATTTCCGACTGAAGAATGAATTCGTTTCTGTGGCGACGATTTTGTGATTATTTAAATAGAGCTAGTGTTTTAACTTTTAACCAGAAGTGAATACTATTGATATGGGAATCCAGCAAAAAGAATCAAAGCCAGAATGGAGAAATTCGGTATGAATAATGAATAATTAATACGAAGTAATAATTAATATAAAGAGCAGAAGTGTTTAGATCGTATGTGTATTCTGATTGTCAAGAAGAAGTGTTTTACATCGTAGATCATCTACTCTATTTAAAGGAGTATGAATTTCCTCTTCGGCGCAACCTAGGAGTGTGCACCTAATTTTCTGCCTCCACCCAACTGCCTTGCTGCACGTTAGCCTTTCCATGCCTGCCCCTTCTTTTTGGTTGATTTCAAATTAAGCTGCAATCTTACCCCAACTTCGGGCCAACCTTTTTCCTAATTTAATACTCTATCAGTATATCACCTTGCGACCCATTAACCTTTTGTATTCTTGGGCCCAACAATTGCCCCCTTTCGAGAAGTTGAAGCGTATGACACACACATCAAGCCGTCGAGCATCAACTTGTCGAAATTTGAAAGAACATAAACTTGTCGTCATTGCCCATCAACTCGTCATCATTGCCCATCAACTCGTCATCTCCCAAACATGTCGTCAACCTGTCACTCGTATGTTCGTATGTTGAGACGCTTCCACCAATCCGTCATTTGTCGGGTGAGATGCTTTCTTCAACTCGTCACCTGTCTGGTGAGACATGTCGTCAACCTGTCTAGATGTCTCTATCAACATCTCACTTTCCTTGCAAGTAGCTTTTAGATCGAATTTGTCTCCTTGAGTGAGGTAGCGACGAAGAACGAAGGCTAGTCTCCTGTCATCTTCCTCCCAATTTGTGCTAATGATCGTATCTAAGCAATGCTGACAAGTTGAAACTTCGTCCAGGTTGATGTCGACACTTCGGTTGGCAAATGTGATTTCGTCCCTCGTTGTATAAATGAGGGGTTTGACTCTGTGAGTGTAACCGTAACCTGTAAAAACTTTAAACATTGTTTTGTTTGTTGTTTTAATAATATCGTCGACATGAATATTTATGATGTATGTGAATGTCGTTCGTGTTGTCTCCTTATGTTTTGGAGCTTGTGTTGTCCTCGTGCTCTCGGAGCACGTGCTTCTGTTGTGTATTTTCTGTAGTTTTGGATGTGGTTGTTGTTCCACATGATGACGTCACTTGTACGTGTACTATTGTTGTTTTGTGTTTGTCTGACTTTGATGTTGTCAGCATTTGTGATGTATGATCTGTCTGTTGTTTTGGCCAAAACATTGCGGAGAATCGGTGGTGTTTATACTCATGTTTAACGTACATGAAAACCCAACTTCTTCCCCTAAAATTCTGTAAGCCCCCCCCCCCCCCCCCCCCCCCCGTCAATTGTGTCTTGACGTGGTGTAAGGCGTTGTTTGATGTAAGCCCCCGTCAATTGTGTTTTGACGAATATTGTAAGGCTTTGCATGTTAGGATTCCGTCATCGTCATTTCTTGATTGTACCTGTGCAAAAAAATATTTTGCTAACGTCGGCCGTTGGCTAGAAGCCAACGGCCCTCCGATGCTTAAGTTAGTCATCGTCTATAGATAAATCAAAGTAATAAATTAAGAATACATGTATGAAACTAAATATCTATCGTCAGAACCTGTCTATAATCAGACGATTTCAATCATCTCGTCAGGTTTATTACCTGACGACATGCCCCCTGTCCGACGATTTCAGTCATGTCGTCTGGTCTATTTTACCACGAGAGTGATGACAATATACAAAAGAAAATTATTAAAAGTGAAACAACTTTAAGTGTACCGTATTGCAGCTCTTAAGAACGACATGTCTACCATCGGACGACATGCCCCCCGTCCGACGACTTCAATCATGTCGTCCAAACTATCTTGTCACATAAGTGATGACTTGTTCCTCAGGCCTCGAATAAGGCTTTCCATGCTTGTAATCATGTCTCCTGGAAGATTCTGACTTCCCGTGCCCCCGGTCCTGCTCAATTTGTCCGCGACGGGATCGTAAGTCTTCTTCTAGACGGATGAAAGCCAGTGCTTTTGCTTGGACATCTTCGAAGAACCGACTAGGGTATTTCGTCAACTCCTGATATAACTCTGAATCCTCCAGCAGTCCCCTTCTGAATGCTTCAATTGTTGTCGGTATGTGACACCTGGGGATTGACATCTTCTCCCTGTTGAATCTGTGCAAGTAATCCCTTAAGGATTCATTGTGTCGCTGGACTACTCGGTGGAGGTCACTAGTCCGCTTCTCCAAGGCTCGGCTGCTTGCGAACTGTTGATTGAATAAGTTGACCAACTTTGCAAACGAATTGATGCTGTCGTTCGGCAGATTGACGAACCACGTCAACACTGGTCCTGTCAACGTTGTCCCAAATGCCCTGCACATGCAAGCTTCTCTCTAGTCTGGTCTGACCGAGACGGCTAACATCTGTTGCTTGTATTGAGCGACATGTTCCACCAGATCAGAAGTCCCGTCAAACAGTCTCATCGAGGGGGCGGCGAACTTCCTCGAAATCTCGACATCAGTGATATGTCGTCCGAAAGGCGATTCCGCATAGAACGTTTGTGAGGCAACATCCAGCGGTGGCGGGACTCCCGGTATGCCGTCGATCTTCTCTCGCAATTCCCTCAGTTCATCCATGATGACGGCCAAGGGATCTGTCATGTTTGTTTGTATCTGCGGACCTGCTGCTTTGGGAGGCATTTCTGTCTGAGTTATCCTCTGCTCGGTTGGCGACTGTATGGTGACGACCTCTGGCTCCTGACAGCTTCGATTATTGATGTCGACACGTCTGGGCATGTCGACATGGCTTGGAACTTGTCGCCTCTGGTTGTTGATGTCGACATATCTGGGAATGTCGACATGATTTGGAACATGTCTTTGGGGCTCTGCAAACAGATTTCGGAATATGTTCCTTCTGTGATTTGGGGGTGGAAAGGAACGAATTGAGGGCCCTGCTCCTCCAGATGTGTCGTCCCTGAAGTGAGGGATGAAAGGTTCCGTTGAAGCCGGAATGGAACCCATGTCCAGTCTCGTTGTCATGGTAGCCACATCCTTGCCCCGTCGTGAGCTTGAGGCTATGGATGCCACCGATTGCACTTGAGATCTCAAAGCGTCATTTTCACCTTGGAGGAAGGCCATTCGTTGACGCATTTCCTCCCGGACAGCTTCTAATTGTGCCGCGTCAGAACTTTTGGATGCGCGGAGCTCTTCTTGGACGGCTTCTAGCTGTGCCGCATCAGAACTTTTGGATGCGCGGAGCTCTTCTCGGACGGCTTCTAGTTGTGCTTGAATCTCATTAAACAGGGAGTTAGAACTTTCGGCCATAATTGATTCTCTTTCTGCAAGAATTTCCCACAGACGGCGCCGATTGTTTTAACCAGAAATTAAACTAATCTAAATACGAAATTGAATACTATTGATATGGGAATCAAGCAAAAAGAATCAAAGCCAGAATGGAGTAATTCGGTATGAATAATGAACAATTAATAGGAAGTCTAAAATATTATAATGATCAATGAGGGTTATGGCCTTTTAGGTATTAAAATTGTGTTGGTGTAATACTTAGCTACATGCACTTGTACATCACTTTTTCAGTATTGTACCCTGATTAATAGGTTACCTTGTTACTGCCGTTAACGTACTATACCTGCGCCTCTCTACCTTCACTGTTTACTCTTTAATCGTCCAGGCCACCAAGTCTGCCGTTAACTACCCTTGATTTATCGGAGCTTCTGTTGATGCATATAGAGAAACTGAAACTCCATCAAAGTTGAAAGTCTTTGTACCCTTCTTCAGTCCTAACCCTCAATGATTGAGTGTCTCCATTCAACTTAAAGGCCGGTTGAGGTTTATCTTTATGATCTAGGTACTCGCGGATCCGCCCAACGACTTCCACGGGATGCTCGGCTGGAAGAGCTTCTTTCACAGCCACTGGGTTGGGGCCTGGGGGTTCGGGATGGCCTACACAAGTTGAGGCGGTTCTTGGATTGAGGTGTGTTCGGATTTCCGAAATGAGTCCGATTCGATTTGACCGGAGTAGGTGCCATTAGCTCGTAAATCTGCAACTTTTTGCAAATACTTCTTCGAATCTAATTGAACTAAGGACCCACGAGGTGTGTATATCATATCAAGGCAGCTCTGCAATTTAGTTTATGGGACTGTTACAGCGGACAAAATGGCTATGCCAGCTCCTCGGTGTTTGAACAAGATGTTTCTATCAGCCCTAAAATGGCGTTCGAAAAAAAATTGGTAAATGTTACGGAGTATATGAGTTAAAATAACTGAAAAATGGTAATTTTTTAAAGTATTGTCTCAGATTAAACTTATCCAATACATTAATCTATTAAAAAATTAACTTCTTTCCTTTATCATATAGAGTTAAAGGTTTTGTCCAACTTATGTTTAACCATCCTTTTTGTACCATAAGGTAAAGATACAAAATTTATCTATGGTGGTTTGTTTCTTAGTTTGTTTCTTTTTGTGTGCTACTGTGTCCCTCTATTTATTTGTGATTATCCTTATGGTAATCCAGTTGTGTTTAGGTCCAGAAAAAACCATTGATTCTTCGGTTGTGTGGTTTTGATTCTTTGAAATTGTAATCAACGTTTCAATAACTGTGATAGAAAAGAAAATTATTTTGAATTTCTTAAAAGCATAAAAGGCATGTGGTTTATGAAGGCCTAACCTCTTCACTTCACTCAGCATCTCCCTTAGGTTTGAGAGCATTCAAACCTACATAGATTGGTTAATGTTAGATGTGACTAAGAATCCACTCAGTCTAGAAATTGGCGCTAGCGTTTCTCACCTGCCTTCATTCCCTTCATCTTCTTCCACATGTAAGTTGATATTTGACTTTCTTTTAATGATGATTATTGCTTTTAAAGATGCCACCATTCAATACAGAATTGAAGATCACATAATCCTACGTTCTTGGACCTTTTGGACTTCCATTATGGTTGCATCTTTCGGTCATTTATGCCTAACCCTGTGCTAACCTATGCTAATTTAGCATATAGTTAAGTTTTTAAGCATAACTTGTGGGGGGTCACAAGAGCCCTTTGGCTGCCAAAGTTGACTTATTTGTGCACCTCTTTGAAAAAGGTATTCTGTTGTTGATTGTTACCATTTTGTCTTTGTATTTGGTGCTCACATTGATAGCTTGAA